CAGTGTGGAATACTGCAAAAGATTGCAGTGGAAAACACTTAACTCTTTGTTCCGCGATCAGATATCATCCTTCAAATGCTTTCTTGGATTCCGTGGAGACGTATCGAAAATAACGAAGAACAAAATTATGTCAGAAGACGTCAAAATCCAACGACGAAATCGATGCGAGCATTACTAGCTCTGTCCAGCATCGAGTAAGTGTTTTATCTTGAATTCTTTAATTATATCTTTTAAAAATTGAGAAATTATATATGGATTCACATTATCGGAATAAAGTAAATTAAATTTCTTTAATAATTAAATTAAATTGTTTCTATTCATTGCTTGCTAAAAAAAAGTACGATACATAAACTATAGTACTGAACAAACTAGTACTGAATATTTAGATTGCTATTGTATATGTCATATGTGTGGGTTGATTTTTACGGAGTCAAGTAAGGTTAATTAAATTTCTCCGTAACAGCGATATGCGAACCTGTATTTAATTTGTAGTTCCGTGAACAAAATTAATATTTATTTTCCCCGAAATACTTTTCGGCGTATTATAATATTATTTCAACATGTTTGCACACGGCAATGTGAAGATGATATTATCATATACTGATGCTAAGATAATATTAAATAATATTATTATTGTATTTATTTTTATTAAATAAAATTTTGTAACAATATTTATCTATATATTACAAGTAATAATTTATTTTGACAAATTTGATATTTCATGAAAAAGAACTATTATATTTACCACAAATATAAATCTTTGCAATAGTAAAAATGATATATATTTAATTAAGTAAAATTAGTTAACAAGTGTTTTATATATTATCACTAATAATGATATATCTATTCAGTATATACATATATGGTATATAACATAAATATGTTGTAAGGTTGTATTAAATTATTTAACACAAACCACATATAAAAAATAACTTATAGTAATATAAATAAGTACATGAATTAATTTTATTTAAAAACGTGAAATATAACAAATTATTTTATTTAAAGAATAAATAGCACGTACTTATTATGATACATATACATCAAAATATTCTGATCTAATAATTACACGGAATGTTGCCATACAATTTGATATTCAAATGACTATGTAATCATCTACTATACAATTCCTGCATGAAAATAAAACATAATTAGTCTTGTTAGTTACAAATAATAACGCAATGATAATAGGCTCCTAATTAGGTAAAATTAGCAGTATAATTGTCAAATCATTGAATCTATTTTACAAATTTATTTCTGTAATCTATACATTTATGAAGTAATATACGTATATGTAAGTATAATACAAAAAGTTGAGGATTAAATATGAAATTATAAATCAAATCTCATATAGAATAAAATAGACAGCATTTATCATATTTTATCATGTCTGTTTATTTTAATGTCTGCATTGACGTACTTATACAGTCATGCGTAATCGATGTGTGATATAAATATCACTAAACCGGAAACTACAATATCATTAACCTTGGGAACTCCCTTTATCTTTTATGCATATTTCATGGAATTTCCTAGATTTAATTTTAATCTTGCATGAACATGTAAAACATGGATTTAGAAACAACACTAAGCGAGAAATATATAGACATTATTTTTAATAGAATAATAAAAAGAATAAAGGGCAATTCGAGAGTCATCGATAAATATAAATAAGAAGTTACTACATATAAAAAATACATTATGCAGTTTGAATTTGTCTTAATTATATATTTCTAATTTTTTATATGTAATAACTTTTTATTTATACTTATCAATGACTCTCGAATTGCCTTTTACTTTATCCTTTTTATTGTTTTGACATCGAGAGCTTTGTTTATTAGTATTTATTTCCAATAGAATGATTCAATAGTAATATTAATTATTGAATATAATATTATATAATGACAGTATTGTAATTATATTTAATTCAATTTTTTATTTCAATAAAACGGATTTATTAATTAATTGATAGTATTATAGATATTATATAAGGAAAAAAATTTTGTTTAAATAAGATATTCTTGAACAGGTTCTAAAATAATAACTTATGATATGAAGTAATAATATATTATAAAATTTAATTTTTCTACATTAAATAAAATATTGCAGAATTTAAAATGACAATACCTTAATAACATGTAATACTTTAATAATATACAATAAATATATTATTACTGAAATGTATTTTAATTATTTTTTTAAGCAGATATAAAAGATATAAAAATATTGAATGTATAGAAAATAATTTTGCAAAATAATTTGCGTAAAAATATAATGCAAATATAACAACAAATATATTTTTTGTTGTTCTACATTAATTAACGGAAAAAGGAAGCGTGAGTAAACGCATACATCCCTTCTCTTCGCATACGCGTGCACAATCAGTTAGGATCCCCAGTGAACGTGGATACTTGATGCCATAGAGACTGGTTCAGTGCTACTTTTTCCTTCGCAAGGGTCGCGTACTAAATGAACGACGTTAGTCCAGAACTTTCTAGTTAATAAATCGCAATCATATCGCGTACTTGTAAATTATTGTAAAGTAATGTGGTAATACTAAGATAAAATCTATTACATAAGTAGTGTATGTATGTGCAAATATGTATAGTTTATGGCTTTATAAGAATTTGTGTTGCAAGATAAATTCACAATTTAAAGATTTACAAGGATAAATTCGAAATAATTCACCAATATACTGCAGCCATGTTAAGCAATCCCGTAAAATTCAAATTTTATCACAAGAAGCAAAGTCGAACAAAAGATGATAAAAGAAATATTGAAGAGATGAAAAAATCGTCTGCAATCTGTGAAAAAGAGTATTTAAGCAACAGAAATTTATCAATTATAACCGATAAGCATCTTGAATCGGATGTCACGGATGATGTTTGCTTGCGGCAAAAGAAGCACATTGATGCTAGAACATCGAATTCTTCCAATATGAATTCACAGAACTCATATGTTATGATAGCATGTGAAGAAGAACCTATTATATCAAATGATACAAACTGGGAATTTGTAGACAATCACGATATCACTGAAAGTATAGAAAATAATAGTACTAGAAAAAAATACTGTAGTCCCAAATGTAGTAGCGCTTGGTTTCTGAAAATTCGTCGTGAAATTTTGAAGAATTGTCGTAATAAAGTTTATCCTACGCTGTGTGTGACGAATCGGTGAGTAAAAAAGAAATTTTTTTCTTTTCCTTAAATAATAAAACTACCCGTTTTCTATATAAATTAATTAAACTATTTATTATTGTATTATAATTTGATATCAGGTGAAATAAAATATGTAATGATTACGACAAATCTCTTGACTTGTTAAAAAGATAACTTAATAATCATATTAAGATAACAATTACAAAAATCATATAATCACTGTTATCTTAATATGCAAATAATTTTTTAACAAGTAATTTCAAAGAATTGCCTCGATCATTAATGATAAAACCGCAAAATTTTGTTCAATAAGATAGACACATTTCAAGGACAACACACAAAGCTCTGATACTCATATTATACATATAAAGCTTGCAGATTGTCATATATGTATAAATCACTATTATGATTCAAGATAACGTTATACATGCTACACAAACGTTTAGTAATTTTATTTTTAGATATGTATAACATACATACACGCGCGTATAATTATTATAAGATATTATCATATGTATATGTATTACAATGATACACATCACTATATGAAAATCTATTCATAATGCTGACTTGATCCTGTTATCAATTAACGGTACATCATCATTTCCAGAAATTTATCATTATCGTTAGGCTGTATCTTGAACGGAATTAATAACGTAATATCCGTATTTAAAAGCAGTCTGTCTGTTCACATCTAAATGTGACGGATGTTCCGTTACGATAATGCACTTCTCACGGTCTTTTACAGAGACATTCAATAGTTTGCACGTGGCAGGGGAGTTTAAAGACCCTTAGAAGCGCGAGCGGATAACCTGGCAGAGGTCCGCTTCTCGCAGGGAAACACGCTGGATGAGTCATACCAGTAAATAGTAGTTTGAAAGTAGCAAGCACGCGTGCATGACCAAGTAAACAGCAAATAGCGGATGAATGTATGTGCGTGTGCTATTTTCTCTACCTCATGATTTTTATCATTTTGTTAATACTGCGATTGCTAATATGCAAATGATATTAAGCTATAAAACAATTTAAAAATTAAATTCCGATATTTTAACGACTATGCCAAATAAAGGAATTATAAATATTTTTATCCACGTATATATAATATCGTTAAAAAAAATCTTAATTTTTTATTCATCTCTTACTTGCTGCAAAAATCTATACATTACATTAGCCAGACAATCTTTTCAGGCGTCGTATTCCATATTTAATTTAGTTCCAGCTGTTCCATTAATTCTTAATGACCAATAGGTACATAAATAATCAATATCATTAAGAAATATCACGTAAAACTAAATATTCATTACGTGCATTATGTAGTCACGTACACCTTTTACTCAGTATTGCACGAGTGAGCGCTACGTGTGCCGCGTGCAGGCGTGCGCGACACTCTTGCGCAGCACGTGTATGTAGTGGATTTCCTGTACGCACCGAACCTGAACGCGGGAGGGTTCATGACTCTGTGATTCGATATGCCTTTTGTGCCTATTCTCTCGAAAACAATACTTTCAACCTGTACGGATAAGAACACGAGGCTTTTAGTGGCACGATGTGTCGACAAAGCTTCTCAATTTTTATTCGTGTTTTCATCAACATGAATGCAAAAGAAGAAAAAAAAACTATAGTAACATATGTCATTTTACTAAACATCATTTACAAGATAAAACTCATTGCGAGTGATCGAGAAATAATAAAATACCAATTCCTTATAAAAATGTCGATTTTTTTAAATAATTAACTAATTTACAAATTATATTTATATGTTACACCGCTTTTATCAAATTTTCACTGTTAATTTTTAATAAGTAAAGACATACAAATTGAAACGTATACTTGAATGTTCGATCATAAATTCATAACAGCTTTAATCCATTCTCGATAATACGAAACTTTAACGTAAACGCCAGTCACTTTTCCACAACCACGACCAAAAGACACAATGCCGTAAATTGTCCTTCTACTGGCTAATGCTCCTCCAGAGTCTCCGAAACAAGCGTCTTTTCCTTGGGTTCCGTAACACAAATGATAGTCATCTTTGACGAGTGTCGCGTATGAAGAAGTGGCATTAATACAGGTTTCATATGGAATGTGTCGAATGTAAACGCCCATTAGAGTTTCAGCATTCTCTTTCTATAAAATATTTTAATTAAATTACATTTACTTACCGTAAGTAAATATTCCGCTAAGACTATATATTCAAAGAAATATGTATTCAAATTTAACAAATATTGTTCTCAGTGTAGGAAATATACAAATGAATAATATAAAATGTTTAAGTAAGCATAAATCTTTACAATTTATCTTACTTACCTTTTCATTATTTATGTATCCCCAACCACAGACTAATAGTTCTAATGGTATTTCGTGAGGGGATCTTGGTAAACGAACTGGCCAGACTGTTCTTGAAAAACGAAACGGTGGTTTCACTTCGAGAAGTGCAATATCGTGATGAAATAATCCCAAGAACCAAGAGTGATATGTATCGTTATATACGTGAATGTTCGTCACTCTATGTAAAGATCCTCCTGTATCCATTTTATTAGATCCAGCCCGTACATAATATTGCGACGGTACTGAGACTCTAGAAAATAATAATATCAAAATAAAAGTATTAATATTGTTAAAAGTAAACTTACTGTGCTCAATTCATAAGTTTAACTAAATATCAATACTCTAACAAGAATGAATTAAAAGAACTAATAATAACAAATCATAATGTTATAAAATCTTATTACAAACAATGAAGAGCAGTAATAGCCCATGTTTTCGATAATATACTGGCACCGCATAAAAATCCATGTGAATTATGTAAAGACAGCTGCAAGTATCATTATTTTTAGAAAATATTGATAAATGGATAAATTATGTCTATCGTTATAATATATAATTATAAAATAATTCACCATGAAAGGTCTATATCTTATGTCGATTGATTGTCCTCCAATAATTTTTGGTTGCACTGTATATGTTGCATTTCCATCTATTCTTTTTAACAGAAAACCTAGAATATACATGTACGAAGAATGATACGTGTAACGATATGCAAATATAGCTTGTATCAACTCTAGTAGTACAATTATTAACACAATATTGTCCAAATATTGGCCCAATATTGGCCAGTGTTTAACTAATATATCACTAATAAATTGCTATTAGGGAATAATAATAAAAACAATGTCCATTTAATTATTACTTTAATATTATATTATAACTTATGCACACTTTTATACAATTATAACTAATATCATAAATAATTGTTCGTACCGGCAAAATAAAGAATAATAACTGCTCTATGCATTTTTGCTAACTGTGTCATCACACAATGAGCTCTAGCATATGTAAAATGCGACGATCTATTTCGCCGTGGTTGTAAATGTCAGACAAGATATATTTCATGAACGTTTAACAGCAACAAATGACGATACTATTGCAATTACAGTATCACAATAGTACCAAGATTGAACGTGATTTATGTAAGTGCCATAAGCAAAGTGATAATTTGAAATTTATCATACCTTGTCGCAACGAGTCAAATATTTATTAGCAACAAAATTACTGTAAAGATTCGTAGAACATTTATTGTCAAGATCTTAAGTGTAATCTCTTTTAAGTGTAAATCTCATTTAAGATAACATAAACCAATCTATATATAAACCGTTTAGTATCTTAAGATTATACTTAATATAATCTTGATATAAAAGAATCGATTAGAATATTATGAAATTTCTTCCTAATTAAGAAATATAAAAATTGCAATTGCGTTTAATGTGCATTAATTTAAATACATCTCCAAATTTATTGATTTCTCTGTAAAAGATGAATATAATACGCAAGGTCATGAAATACTCGTAATGATATCAGATACATGTTCAATGTAATTTGAAACCGATTCATCATCGAATATACAGTGACAGAATTCTTATGAAACCGTGTAAAATGGTATCATAAATAGTTCCCAGGAATTATTAATCAAAAAACGATTTGTTGTCACAGAAGGTAATTATAACAGCAGATGGACTCGTTTCTGAACAAAACACATGTATTACTTTATATACATATATTATATTATTTTAACGTTAATAAATCGTAAACTATTTATTGCATCTTAAAATAGCTTTTATTAATGTTTAAACCATAAGAACTATTTGTTACATTTGTAAACATATTTTGACTAAAATATTTTAGTTTTCATTATAAATATTACCGACTTCTGAAAATTTTTTGAAAACAATCATCTATATTCATGTTCAGGTGGTGGATATTCCGCCAATTCTTCGAGATTAGAATCGTCTGTATGCTCTCCCAAACAAAATAATGTAGAAACAAAACTGATTGTTTCCATGAACATAGTAACCAATAGCAAGTTATTTGCCAAACATGCTAAAGTACTCATGTGATTTCGGCTTCGCACTTTATTTACACGATTCATTAAATTCATTAGTTTTCCAAAAATATTATCGGCCTCCTTTCTTATTTCTGCAGAAATAAATATATTATTTATTTATAAAATTCAATTCTCTTATTGCACAAACTATTATACTGGTAGTTCTAAATTTTTTTAGTTAATTAGTATAACTCGATTTCAAGAGAAAATAAAATATATATAAATAAAAAATATTTTCTTTCTCGTATGTATTAAATACTTACGATTTCTCTTAGAATATTTTATGAGATGTTTCATGTGGTTGTTTTCGTCAAATTCCTCCTCACTTACATTATCTGAATCTGTTATATCAACTAACGAAATATCAGTAGAGGTTGATATTTCGATTTCTGTTTCATTTAAATTTGTACATCCAAATAATTCCAAAAGTTTCATCATCCATTTAGACAAGCAGGAGAGAATGTTAAAATGATTCTGCCACGATTCCTTGAAAGAACTTCTAATACCACGAATAAGAAATTGTTGCACTTTTAATGCAAAACGATGAAAGTTTCTAACAGCAAGCATCGTTTCCTTTAATATACCATTCTTATATATATTTAATGATACAGACATCTTTTTGTATCTAAAACAATTATTTATATAAATTCTTAAATAAATACTATCTTAATCACAGATTTTTAATGTCAATAGTATAAAATTCTGAGAAGCTATATCGTGCACTGTAATAAAGATTAATAAAATACAAGTGTTATTAAAATAACATTAACCTCACAGCCACTCTCTTATCCCTAGCGGCATTTTTCGAAAGCGTATATAACTTCCTGTGGCCTTCCTGGTAAATTGCAAAATACTGATACACATCATACGTTAATTGTCTTCCCCATTCGCTTCTCGAGAGAATATTCCCGAGTTTATTCGCGATACGATAAAGCGGCGATCGTCTAGGTATCCGTTCATCTAAAATTTTTTCGTAAATATATTTCACTTGCTGCATTGTAGTTTTCGGCAGTCTTCGATAGAACTGGCAGTTAATGCTTGCGTTGCCAATATCAATCTTACATCCACTTAAATTTTCAATAACGGTTAACCATGGTTTGATAAAAAATCTATGATAACCGATTGCTTCGTACGAGTGTTGATCTCTCGATGATGATGATACACAAGTCACGAAATGTCGTAATTCTTTGATACAAATGCCGTAATGACTGGCCCTTTCAACAAGTGAATGACATAGCAACATGTACAATTGTTCACTGGTTGTGCCGTTACTTGGTGCAGAACGGATAAATGCTTGATCTAAACGAAACTTAAATGATTTCACAGTGTTGTCGGGTGAATCTTTCGCTAAATTTACAAGAGTTCGATCGAGATTGAATGACGTTGGATTTCTCCTGTTTGTTACTGGCAATAAACATTTAAATAATTTTTCACTAAAACTAGACGCGTCATTTATAGTAGTGAAAAATTTGAAACTCTTCGTCTTTTTGTGTGATGATAAGTCCTGAAATACATATATATTAATAAATTACTATTTGTATAAAATTGTCCTAATTCATAAATAGATTGTCCAAACGCTTTTTTGCTCGTAATTTTGAAGCTATAGTCTATTTACACATATTTATCTTAACAATAATTTCGTTAAATTTTTAAAATAATCTGTCTTTTGATACTTTTGAGCTTACCTTATCTTCATATAAAGTCATATTATATGTTTTGAAGTAATGATTGATCGCAAATTGAATCTCTTCGCCTATTCCAATCAGATCGTATAATAGCAGCGATCCCTGGACCAGACCTTCGGTAAACCAATTTTTAGAAATTGTAAAGTTCCACAATGTTTGTTTATATTGACGAATTGATGCAGTTAGCCCAATGATTTGCGCAAATTCCATAATTTTTGCACGTATAATCTTGCTTATTTCACTAATTGTGCTTTCCAAACTGCCTCCATTGGAAGACGATAATCTCAGAGTTATTGGCTGAACGGTTGATCCAGTTAATTTTGTTAAAAACTGTTTTATTATTACTTCTGCATGTTGAATCTGTTTTGGATTTACCAAAACAAATGATGTAACATTCGGTTGATTCCTTCGAGATGCTGTCAACGTGGAAAACGTCTCATTATGATAAATACTCTCCGTTATCACACAAAATATATTAATCTCTGAAAAAATTATAAAGAGAAAAGAACATTGATTATTGATAGTACGTTTATTCGTTATTGTAATATAAAATGAAAAATAATACACTACTAAAGAATAGAAACAAAAATATCAATTTGCAACGCATGTTTGAGCTAACTATGTTTGCAGATAACTAGTTCGCTTTTATGTAGATTTTTTCAGACAAACGTCATATTATTTACCGTGAACAATAGAAAATATTTCTTATACGCTCAGTTAAACTTATCTTGTTGCAAGTTATCTATTGATGTACATACATCATAAAAATGGAAAATTTATGCTTTCATTCAAACGGACATTAATACTGCCTCATATATAACATGATGCAATAATGTTGAGTGTATGTGTGTGTGTATGTGTGTGAGATACAAGGTTTATTTTTGAGAGATTCCAGAAAAACAATAATCACTATTTTTATAATTTTTATGAAAAAATAAAATAATGTCCGATAAAGATTAAAGCCAGCATTCCTATTTCCGCGCAATAATACCGCAGAAACATTATTGATGTTTGCTTCAACGGATTTGTAGCGTATGTATGTATGTATATATGTATGTATAGCGAAATGGCGCGTGGCGCCTGCGTTCAAGAACCGCAACGATCGCGACGTCAGTCTGGATAGCAGCTTTTAGCAGGAATCAATTCCTGCACAGGTACTGGCCTAGAATTAGTAATAGAGTGCGTTTGCGTATCTGTCTTGCAGTGTCTACGATATAAAATAAAATCGCACAAGATATAAATATAACTAAAATTCTCTCTCTGAAAAGGCAGTTATTATAATTAATGATAAAAGTGATATTATATATTTCTTAAATTCTTTTTGTTTTTTTAAAGTGTACTGGCTGATCGAATACCGTTATGTCAGTGTTTATTAATAAAAAAAACTTTTTATTTAATTTATTTTTATATTTCTAATTAAATTAACTATATACCTATATCTTCCTGCTAAGTAAATTTTAGTTCAGAAGTAACACAATATTTTACGTAATATCGAACGTAAGAAATGCATTTCTACATCCGTGATTCTACAATATTAATCTTATACATGCCTACAAATAGATCACCTACAGAAAATGATGTCATCGAGAAAAAAGACAAAACAAACTCCACGAATGTTGAGTCATTTACACAATTGCGTGTTTCAGATGATTATTGAATTAGCCTGGCGTTTGTATACATTTACACAGATAAATCACAAATAAAATAAACCGAGCAAAAATTTCTTCCGCTAATTATTTAATTTTTATTAAAATGTTAGTCAAAAAGAATAAACATGCAATAAATTTTAATCTTTCTTAGATATTCACTAATTTTCTAGGATTAATTTTTTTTATGCCAATTGTCTGACTAGTTAGTTAATTCTTTGTCATTTCTTTTGGGGAATACAAAAAATAAAGAGTTAAAAATTAAATTAGAAAATACCAGCAAAACTCTTATAGATATACGATCCATTTAATAATTTAATATAAATTAACATAGATAAATTTTGAACATAGCTCTCAATATATATGAGAAATAAATCCTCTCTAAGCTGTGTCATTATTTAAGAAAAAAAATATATTTTCAAATAAATAAGAAAAATTCTTATAGACAAAATAATATTGTAAAATTAAAATTGTTTAAATAAAAAAAAAGCTTTATAGAACGTACATAACGAGTAAAAGAAGTGAAAATGATTTCTTGACTTGACAATAGGTGCCATCTATCGGGCGATCATCAAGTAAAGTGAATGGTTGAATGTTCCATTCAAGAATAAATGGAACGCTTACTAGTTGCACCTATACCAGGCTTATAACTCCAGCCGGCATATTTTCGTTGCAAAATATACTTAAATTTCTTACGTACACGGGATTGATACCTAACAAGGAATGTTTTTGTGAGTGCACAATTAATGTACGTATACAACTTTCTATAAATTCGGTAACTATAGAAAAATCGAATGCTTAAAATAACGGTGAAGTTCTTGGAGAATACTAAATCACATATAAGTGCATTCTGATTCATTGGGAGAGAAAGGAAATCAAGCGAAGATGGATGAAGAAGCTATGTGGAAAGGTTTTTACCACAAGATCGTAGAAGAAAAATTAGCAAAAGAAAACGAGAAGAAAGAAAAATCGGAGCACGAAATAAGGTAAAGGGATTTCAGTGCGTTTTATTATTTACGTTGACTTTTAGTTATTTTGTATTTCATATACTTTTCACGTACCTACTTTGACCAAAAACACTAAATTTTCTATAGAAAATTTTATATTATTTATTCAAAGTATGTATTTAAATTGCTAAATATATTACAGTAATAGAGTAATAGAATAACCACTGTTAAATAATTCTATAATTATTTAAAGTTATTTAATAAAATAATCTTATACAAAAATTAAATATCCTATTCATAATAATATTTGATTTGAAATAACGCATATAAGGATAAAATAAGATTCTTCTAACGTTAAAAATATTAATCTAATCAAATAAAGAAAAAATACATTAAAAAAATTATGATATTAATACAATTTATTTTTAACGTGTGGTGCAACAATTAACAGATAAAATTGATAATATATAAACATTTTATCTGCTACGCTCAAATTATTAAAATATTTGAAAGTAATATTAAATTATGACATCAAGAAAAGCAACACGATGTTATGAAGTATGACTTCATTTTTGGCATGAAACTAGAGCGTCGATAACGATGAGCTCTGCATATTCATAATCTTTATGATTAATGATAATGCACTACGATAAACGGGATGTGTGCTCTTAACACATTGGTAAAACCTCAAATTAAATTGTCTGTAACTTAGGCGCGTATGTAGATTCTATTAATAGAATGAGACTAACATTGAGAGTTCGGAGGAGGGACTACGTGGCGACTAACAGGTCTGAGTTCTATACCTGTAGGCAAAACGTATAGGTGCATCTATATATATGTGTAGCTGCTCCACAAGATCTGGTGTCCAAGGTCGGTACGACATACGTTATATGATTCATAGTTACCTCCCGTGACGTCTTTATAAAAGATAATTAACTACTGACGTTGCGTGAGGAATATGAAATCGACCATCTGTGAAAGAATTTGATCAAGTATAATCTGATAGTACCAATAAAAATAATTTATTAACGCACGCATTGCAATTTGTATCCGGTATATAAATACCGAAATATACTTTTGAGCGCTTCTCAAGTTTATTATAATTGTATTATTAATATTCATAATTGTATTATATACTTATCTGTTATATACGCACATTTATTTGTATATTTATTATATGTATAATATATATGTACGTAGGTATAATTAATGTTTACTTAATTTATATTTTTATTATAATTATAATTATAATTCAAGCAAAATAATATGTATACAAACACAATATATACTTGATGCACATATTTATTGTACAAAACATATTTAATTACCATAAAATGCTTTTACAATAAAAAAAATGTTTTACAAGAATAAAATTAATTACAACAAGACAAAAAGTTATAAATGTATACTATATTAATGTATTCTATGATATAATAGTACATTCTCTTAGAAAGCATAACGTCGTGTTTGTTTCTATTTTTATTATATTTCCCACGGTCTTCCACAATTTAATGACGTGCGGCGCAAAATAGCGTGAATGCACGTCATAAGTGGGATCGAGGGAATTCCCTGGGTTTCCTCGATGGGCAATTTGATGAGGAAGAAGTGGAAAGGCACCTTAGATCATCGCTTTAGGTGAATGACTTGCGAGAATTGTTAAAACTTGTAGATCAATTCTAAGCAAAGTTGTAAGACCCGTAACTTGTTCTCGTAAAACTTGTAAGAACTTATGACTAGTATTCTACTTTTGTGCATATGAATCGTAAGAGGTACGATTGTTTGTAAATATCTACGATTTCTTGTAAATCTTATGGCTAAGAAGCTATCTGTAAAGATATTGTATAAAGGTCTCATTCCAACGTAGTTTATAAAATAAATTTTAAGGATTGTGTAAGGTCGTACGTTTACCAAAGACACGTTGACACAGACATCGTGTTAACAGGAGCACGACTTAATCCTCCGTTATCACAGATCATAGAATGGAACTATCCGACAAATTTGATTGGGAAAATGTTGAAATATTGGACGAAGAAAAAATGCTAAATAAAAGATTACTATCAGAAATGATTCACATTAAAAGAAGTAGAAGCGAGGACTAAATTTAGAAAATGATATTTTATCGATAGACCCATTATATGTGAATCTGTTTAAAAGAACGTGATGTTTCTTCTACGTATTCCTCTTGTATTTTTGTCATATTCATCTTACTTTCGCATTACATACCAAATGACCGAGCCAATATCGATTTAACAATCTTATTAACCTCCAGGCAGCCGGAATTTTTTTTATCTGAAAAAGTGCACTTTTGCTAAATATTCTCATATAAGTGTGCAGCCCAGTTTTCAATCATGAGTAATAATTAACTAACAAGGGAAACCTTTCGAGGTGTAAATATAATGTTAAGTCGAGTTATGTTAATGCGGAATTAAATACGAACAAAGACGAGAAAGATTGAATTGTGTAAGTCTTTTGATTACTGAGTGGTTCTGTGAAACGTTTGGAAATAACTATATATAATTTTTATAATTGAACAATTAAAGTTATTTGCACGGGCAACGTGCTAGGCTCTTATTTTTCTTTATAGATATTCGTTTAAATTTGTTGTGAGCTTGATGCG